CTGACAATCCTGCATGGTGTAACCTGTAAGGCAGAGAGTGGACACTTAGGGGACAATGATCCTGACAGGTGTATGAGACATCATTTTGTTGAGACCATCACACATCCTATCTACAAGTGCAATTCAAAGGTAAGAAGACAATGTTGATGAGAACAAATGTTGATGCTGTCACTCTAGTGATTCTGATTATATTTGTGCCATATATATTATTAAATACCATAAAACTTTCATATTTTTAGAAATATTTCTGCCCGTTTGTTCCAGCATATCAGTTAAATTAAGTTTTAATCAAAAAATTGAAACAATAAGTAATATTTTTTAAAATTATTTTTTTCGATTTGTACCACTTCCATTTTATAACATTCAGTCAGTAAATATATTTCTGCAAGTCTCACAAATAAATAAATAAATATATTGCTGTAAGAGTTTCCAGTTCAGCATTTAGAATATGAAAACTAACTTAATTGAACAATGACTTGCAGTTCAGCGAGGGAGTCATTCAGAACTCAGAAATGCATCTGAACAACTAATTGACTGAACAAACTGATTCAAACTGCTAACACACAAATGAGTTACAGGATGTAAATCTTTTTGACTGACTTATTAAAATGAATGACTGACTCGTTAAAAAGAATCAGAGTCATAAGAATTAAGACTAAAACTATTAAAAATCATTTTTGTAATTGAAATACATTTAAAATCAAGTAAAATCTAAATATTAGATGAAAAACGTAAAAAAAATAGAACAGTCTTCTGAAATTGAAGTACTAGAACTAGAACTAAAAAAAACATACAGAAATGTCTTGCATCTCACCGATGTCAATTTGATTTTAAATTATTGTCACACATTTTTATTTTTGTCGCATGTCAGAGTGGAGAAGTTCTTGTGGTCTTATTTTGAAAAAAAGAAAGAAAGTCTTATTAGCATCCAAGTGAAAGTCACACAAAATCGAGCTCCCATGATTCTTACTGCAGTACAAAAATGGTCTGGGAGGTCAGGTCCTCTTGTAAGACAATACACTCTCTACACCCACAATTTTCCTGCTAACAAGCTGCTTAAAAACAAATCAAGTCTCCTGGTGTTTAAAAGGTTTTACATTTAAATACTGACCCCAGGGATGTCGCTCATAATTAGAACCCAAGGCTGAGAAGAAACCTTGTTTTCATTTATTGAATCAGATTGACCTCTACCTTTAGTTACTTTGACACCTTGGCAAGGAACACTGCAAACAGCCTGCCTGTGCGGCCCAAAGCCTCGCCAGAAATAAGCACTCATGGGGTGCATAAAATGTCTGGGAGATGGCACAGTTCCAGGGCTCCACACAGTGCTGTGCCTGACTCACTTTTTGGTTATCGAAACAATAGAGTGCCTCAGATACATCCCCTTAAAATAAAGCCATCTGATTCACCTGTAGCCCTCAGAAGGGCAGCCTCTCATGATCTGTACATC